TCTGTATTCATTGCAGGAAGAAAAATGGGTCCTTTACACAGGGTTTGAGGTTTGTATTTCTCTGCCTGTCTCTATGTTCTATTAACCAACAACAAGGTAGCACAGATGCATATTTGTACTATAGCAGGTTTGAACTTCTCATGAGGCTTTTGCACTGATTGTTGTTTGGTTGCAAAGTCACACCCAACCTACTACTATCCCATGGACAACATTCCTCCAGGCTCTCCTGTCCTCCACCATCCCTCAGAGTCCACCCAAGCCCACACCCACTGCACCAGTGACTCCATCTAGCCACCTCATCCCCTGCCGTCCCCTTCTCCTTTTGCATCAGTCGTTCCCAGCATCAGTTGTTCCTTCTCATTAGGTGGCCAAGTATTTGAGTTTCACCTTTGAGTATCTGAGCTTCTAAAGAGCAGTCAGGGTTGATTTCCTTTAAGACTGACTGGTCTGATCTCTTTGCAGTCCAAGGGACTCTCAGGAGTCTTCTCCAGCACTGCAATTCAAAGGCATCAATTCGTTAGCCTTCATTATGGTCCAGCTTTCACAGCCATACATTACAACTGGGAAAATGATGGCTTTGACTATATGCACTTTTGTCAGCAGGATGATGTCTCTGCTTTTTGTATGCCGCCTAGATTTGCCATAGCTTTCCTCCCAAGGAGCAAGTGTCTCTTAATTTCTTGGCTACAGTCTCCGTCTGCAGTGATCTTGCAGCCCAAGAAAATAAAATCTGTCACTACCTCCATTTCTTCCCCATCTATTTGCCCGGAAGTGATAGGCCTGGATGCCATGATTTTAGTTTTCTTAATGTTGAGTTTCAAGCCAACTTTTGCGCTCTCCTCTTTCACCTGCATCAAGAGGCTCTTTAGTTCCTCTTCGCTTTCTGCCATTAGAATAGTATTGTCTGTGTATCTGAGGTTGTTGATATTTCTCCCAGAAATCTTAATTCTGACTTGTGAGTCATCCAGCCCAGCCTTTTGCATGATGTACTCTGCATATAAGTTAGATAGGCAGGGGGATAATATACAGTCTTGCCATACTCCTTTCCCAATTTTGTTCTGGTATGTGAAGATTTAAAATTTAATACCAGACTTTCCTAACTCTTAAAAAACCAAAAAGTGTTTTTTAAAACACTAAAAAGACTAGAAACTTAGGAGAGGCTCTACAGGACAATGATGTTGTGAAAAGGTCCTGCAAACTTCCACAAGTGAAGATCACAAGTGCATAATAAATGTTTCATGTACAGAAGAACTATTATTTAGAAGTTATCTGGATTGCAGGGATCATAACTGTTCGCATTAACAACCTTTGTTAAATGGGTCCTCAGAGAAAGAAATCAGTACAAACCAGTACCAAACTAGTTGTGTTAGTAGACAGTAATACCAATGAAGAATCTTACAGGATCTTAATGATGAACACATTTATTTTGGCATAAAAATCTGTGGTCTATTCATGGAGTATTGTGAAGAGTTTCAAATGTATACAATACATAAGGAAGTGGAAGAAGAATAGTAAATAAAGTCAGAAGAAAATTAAATGCAAAGAGGGACAACCGCATTATTAACAGCTATCATTCAGTCTGCAGGTGTTGCTGATAACACAAACTCTCTATTTTTTTTTTTTTTAATTTTAGAACTTGTATCCAAAATATTGTGATCTGGACAGGTATTGCTGCTGAAGTCTCCATGGCTGAGTGGGAACTAGAATCCAGATTGACCGAGTCCCAGTCCTGCACTCTTAACCACTACACCATACTGAATTTGAATAGAATAGTAGCAGAGTTGGAAGGGGCCTATAAGGCCATCAAGTTGATCCCCTATCTGGCTGTAGGCTCAAGCCTTACCATCTTAGCAAAGGTGACTCAACATGCTAGCTCAATATAAAGCTATGCAGGCTAAAATCTATTAATAGTTTTAATTATTACATTTATACCTCACTTTTCTTACTTTTGCAAAGAACCCAAGGTAGTTTTCAAAGTTCTTCTCCTCTCAATTTTATCCTAACAACAACTCTGTAAGATAACTTAGGTTGAAAGCCTGATTGGCCTCATCACCCAGTGAGCTTCATGGCTGAGTAAGAGCTAGAAACCACATCTCCTATGCTAATACTTTAACCACTACACCACCCTGACTTTGAATATGTCCTATGAATCTTGCCCCCACTTCATGGAGAGTGGTATATGTCATTCTGGGTGGCTTATAAATCATCTCAACAGCGCATGGTTTGTAGTGGGTTTTAGTAAAGCCCCCATAGCTTAGCATGATGTCCAAGGCAGGACAACATGCTAAACCATCGTCAGAGTGGCAAAAAGGGTTGCTGCTTCGGTCGAGGAGCTCTAACACCCAAGCAGCACTTTATGTGGCTGTCATCAGTTTTGCCCACACAAACCTATTTGGGGCCTGGCGAGGTGGCACCTAGTGGGTAAACCCTCTGCACCCAATCATAAGTCTGGCACATTTGGGGACCCACAGGCAACTTTAAGTCCAGGGTGGGTATATACGGTCCAACCCTGCTTCTGATTGTCTCCTTTCCCACCAGCAGATGTTGTTGTGCGTGTACACTGTTAATTAGATACTAGATCATATTTGAACCTTGTATTCATAGTCCTGCCAGCATAACGTGCAGCCAGTGCACGGGCCTGACGGAAGACGGAGGGCAACTGAACCGTGTGTGCGTCTGCAACTGTGGAAGGCTGTTGCCAGCCTGTCCTTGTAGCTGATTCCTTCACCGCGGGGAGTGGTCAGGACAACCTGAGGAAAGACCGAGGCCCTTGAGCGCGAAGTCGGGCCTGGGCCTGGGCTGCAGCGCCTGCGCGCCCCTCCGAGCGGCGGGGGGCGCTGGGGGCCGGCCTGAGGCGGGTTCTTCGGGCGGAGACAGGGCGAGGTGCGTAGGGCGCCACGTCGGCAAGCACCGAAGGAGCAGCCTGCCGCCAGAGGGTCCGAGTTTGCTTCGCGGTTCGGGAGGCTGTGGACGGAGCCCTCAGCTACGCTGGCCCGTGCGGCGAGGAGAGCGAGAGAGAGAGCCGGAGCTGCGGAGGTGAGCGGAAGACGCGGCCTGTGCAGGCCCCCTCTGCGGTGAGGGCGGGAGGCAGGACTCTAGCATCCTCCCCACCCCCTGATCTCCTGCGAGGAAGAAGAGCGGGTGGGGGGCCAGCAGACCTCGCTAGTGCGAGCCCTCCCCGCTTCGTGACCCCAGTTTATAAGCGGGCGGCGGGGGTGGGGGGTCTCCTGACGTCCCACACCCATGGAGCGGGAGCGAAATGGGTGCCCTGGAGTAAGGGGGCGCTGGGAGAGGAAGGCTTCGAAAGGAGTGGGCATAACAGAACGGGAGGTGTTTTGTGTGTGTTTTAGATTTGTCTGAGGGAGTACGTTTTTGAATGGGGAGGCACTCCTCGCCTGTTTCTTTCTTCATAATTTTGTCGTTTTGCGCATGTAAAAGGGAAACGGAAGGTTGGGGGACGCAGTCTTCAGAGTTTTCCATTTTTTTGCAAATAAAATAAATGCAGCTTTGTTTCTGTGCTTAAAACGCAGAGCAACCCTGTGCGTGTTTGCTCAGAAGTAAACCCTGCTATATGTTCAGTATTGCTTACGGCCAGGTAAGCGTACATAGGAAGTTAAAGTGGAAATCTAAAATGGCCAAACGTATGAGCAACTCGAGTATGTGAGCCTATAAAAGCGAGGAATATATGCACGTATTTAAGACTGCCGATAATGTCGTAGCATATTGATAGTCACCATCTGAAAATAGCCACCAGCCTTCCCATGAGAGCCTGCTTCTTGCAAAACTATTTAGCTTTGATGGAGCAAAGCAAGGTAAATATGTCGACGGCCCTTCTCTGCTCATTCTCTAACTAGAGGCAAGCTAGCAAGCAAGCCAGCTTGCTACCATTCCAGAGTACAAACGGCCTGAGAACCTGTAACTGAAAGAGTGGGTGTAGATTGTTGAGGTAGGAAGGCAGGAGTCTTCAGTGATAACTGGCAGGAACGATTCCCTTTCGTCACTCGCACCAGGTTCAACGTGGAAGAGCCCTTTAGAAGGAGGGGGAAAGACTCCAGGCAGCACGTCAGAAGGAGTATGACTCCAGGTTACATCCTTGCCTCTCTTGCCACGTCACTACTGCCATCCATCCATTAACTCTCTCATTGGCTTGGTAGGGTTCCCATTTACAGTTTCATGTAATAGAAGCAGTTATGCCCCAAATGGCTGCTTAAATAGACCTACTTCTGAGGTTTGTTTCAGGGTGCTTTTGTTCGTGTTTCTGGTGGGAGGATTATTAATATTCTCAATGCAAAGTAGTGATGAGTGGGATTTACACAGAATGTTACTCATTGTTCTTAAGGTTGATGTTGCATCTTGGCTTAGTTTTCTATGCAGCATGTAAATAGATGTACATGTGAGTAATACTGTACCTGCATGTACATGGTCCACATCTTTGAAGCTGTTACTGTTGGATAGCTGTCTAGACTTATTATAGAATCTGACCACTCACATGGGAGCCAGTTTGTGAGAAAGGTGTGTGGCTCCTTAATTTTTATCTGGAGTATAGAATAGCTCTTGGTTATCCTTGTGCTAGACCAAGGTTAGAAACCCCTGTTCATGTGGTGGGAATTATCTCTAAACTTCAGTACAGAAACAGAAGGGTCTGTTGCTGCACTCTTCCCTGCACCAGGCCCACTGTGCTTAGTAATAAAGTCTGAGTGGCTGATAGGCAGGGTCTTGTGCATTAAATCCCCAAAGCAATGTAATGTTACAGCATGGAAATCTCACACATTCTTTGGAAACATTTTTCCATTATGAGAACAGTGGGATTTTTTTTACAATAATTTGAATAAAATTTTACAGGATTCCACAGGAGGTGGATAATACTGGGCAACATATTTCAGTTACCCAATGCTGCTAAACTCTGTCTTTTAGGAGAGGGTGCAAAATAATTAGAAGAAATATTCTGTCCTGTTTTCAAATCTTCGCTTTTGGCTTACTGGAGGTTTCATATAATTAGTTGTCTTGATAAAATAATGAGCTAGATTTATATCCTGCCCAGAGAGCCATTTGGCTAAATGGGCAGAATATAAATTGAATGAATGAGTAGAGAAATGTAGTATTTGACTGGCCCTGGTACCAAGAGAACATCACTGAGCCCACATTCATTTTGCCCATTCAATATTCACTGCCAAAGTGCCTTTACTTTATAATGGCTAGCTTCACACAACATTACAACCCACAAGCAAAGATGAGTATAGATTGTCGTTGATTCATGGGTTGCTGTGCTGTGTGAACCTAGCAGTGCCAACATCTGTGGTTTGTTAACCCCAAACAACCCAAACCCCAAGAACAAGTCATGAGTTCTCTTTCAGGGTTTTTCATGGTTATCAACCGATGATGGATAGGTTCACACGACACAGCAACCCATGGCTCAGCAACAACCCACACTCACCCTATACTTGACCTTGAGTGGATGGTGTTGCTTATGTGAACCCAGTAGATGTTTCGAAATGCATGGTGGTAGCAGATTCGCTCTACCTGCTGCTGCCCTGAGAACAGTTTCTTTAAAGATGGAAGGCCTTTGCTTTTTTTAGATATAATGAAGCCAATTCATTTAACATTCTGAGTAATTGAACTAATTTGTGTTTAATTGGGTTAGGAGCATTAGACTGCCAACTTATAAATTGTTGGGAGCCTGACTTACCTAAAACATTTTCATCAGCAAGAAAGATAATTGGACCTAGTTTTTCTTGGTCATTTAGAGCAAAACTGCCCTCAGGATACTGAATACTAAAATATACAGACAGATAATTGTCTGGTTTTTTATTTATTATATTTTACACCACCTATCAGCTCAAAAGCTCCTTGGGTGGTTCACAGGATCAGACTTTTCCAAGGATAGTCTTTAACGTATCGTCTAAGTCTTGATTCTCAAAAAATGAAGTTAAAGATTGCAGGATGCAGTCTTGCTCTGCTTTCTCTTACAGACAGTGTATCAGGAGATAAGTGCAGAAGCATTTAATTTACTGAAAATTGATGGGGTCAGTCCCCTTTTCCTTTTGACTTTCCTACATTTATTCCCTTTTCCCTGGGACTTCATAGTACACTAAACATTTAAGTTAACAAGAAACTCTTTTTGTTGTTCAAGGCTTCGCATTAATTATCATTTGTGAACCACACAAATAACTTGAATTTCCCCAGGTCATTGTGTGTTGCAGCTGAGATTTAATTTACAGTGGCACTCTTCAAGAAGTCTGTTGTGTATAAATGCTAATAAGCATGTTACTCTCTTAGGTTTTATATAGAAAATCACAGTGGGACTTGCGAATGTTGTAACAGTTGGTAAGTATTTCTGTATATCTCTGTATAGCTACATATTAGTAAACAAGTGGATGTGCTGCATGTGAACATCAAGAGGGGCCTAAAGGGAGGCAGAAAATGTCCTTGCCAAAGGCAGAGGTCATCTGATTTTGCAGAAGAAAATTAGCTTGTAGAACTCCAAAGTTAGATGACCTCCATCTACGCCCACCCTCCAAACAAACCTGACCTGGTATAAGATTTGCAAATATGTACTTCCTTCAGTTCAGGGCTTTGCAAAGACTGAAGAAGCCTGTCCACATTTCTCATCCCAGTTTGGGCTGGGATTTGGTAAAAAGCTTATTTTCTTTCAAATCTGAAAATAAATCTTTTTATTTTTAAACACTTCCTAGAATATTGCTGTGGTAGTGTTCTGGGTTCCATGAAATACTAGAAATACTGTTCCCAGGGACCTTGACATCCTTAATAAGGACTTGTGATCTTGCTGCTGAGCCATTATTTTAGGAGATAGAATGACCAGATGTATGTGTGCATCTGTGTGTGCATGTCCACATGTGTGCATGGTGCTAATAATGGGGTGAGCCCATTCCAGAGCTCGAGCATCGTTTGGGTCAAATGTTCAATAGGCTTGGGAAACTGCAATCCTTAAATTTGTATCCCAAGTCCCCTCTTACCAACATGAGATGCTAACATACTATATTTTAAACACAGTGCAAATCAGTTTTCAAAATCTCCCCTATAGGGTCTTATTCTCATTTTACCTGTATGAAAACAATCTTGGAGAAATGTAATGTGTGTTTCCATGTGGAATGTCGTCTTGCTTTGTACACAGATGAACATCTGTAGTGTGGGATAATTTATGCTGGAGCAATAAGCAATTCATCTAGACCAGCATGGGTATACTTTTGGTGAAAATAGATTGAGGCATTGCATGGCATTTTATTAATCTTGCCTGCTGTTATAAAAGAACAGCACACCATTGGAAATGCCATAGACACTGAAAATTCTTTTATAAAAATATTTTTCTGCTTTACAATGGTAATAACACACACACACGACACCTTCTGAGTGGTCTGAGCATCACTTTTATCTTGTGTAATCCTTTCTGATCTGCCTTGCTTGTGGATGGAGCCAAGTGTGACTGAGACAGAATGACTTATTTTATGCCATCTAGTGGGTTGATGGCAGAGACAAGATTTGACCTACTATTTTAGCCTGTGAGCTATGGGCTTTTATATTAACAACTGCATTAACTGGAGCTGGTTTTGAAGAAATAGTACATTGTTATGTAAGAAATTCCAAGTAAGTAACATTTCCTATAGGTAGCAGTTTGTGTAAAAAAAATTCCATTCAACCTGCATTTACACCAACCTGAGTGTATGCATGAATGTGCATGTATTTACATATGCTGGAAAGTCTCAGTAGATGGCTGGTTTCTTGACAAAATAGGCACATGCATGTTTGTAATACATGGTGTTGTGTAGGCAGGCTCTGAGAAATGTTCTATGCAGGAATGATACCATTTAGGAAATTATGTGCAGCAGTTCTAAAAAGCTTATAGTAAGCATTTGCTGCAACATTTCTTCTTGTGGACATACCTTGATAGATTCGTGAATGATTACAAAACTGTTTGTTTTCTGCAGGACTTTAGCTCTTTTGCATATGGTTCCCATGGTACCTATATAAGTATGAAATTCTATTTCTAAAGTAAAAATAGTGATAGAACCATTGCCTAACAAGGAAATGCATTCTCCAGTGTCCACATTGCCTAGGACACATTATTTAAAGGGCTCAGCAACTTTCTGTTTTGGAAATGTCACAAATGATAAATATTACTAGATATGTGCAGGTAATATTTTCTTTTAATTTCTGCTAATATTTGTTTCCCCTTGAAACTTATAACTATATTATTGTAGATGTTGTCCTTTAATTGCAACAAAGAGGAGGAGAGAAGTTGTACTTAGCATCTTCAAGCTACACATCATATAGGTATGTATGTGGTATATAATTATATAACATTGTTTATTTAATTCTATAGTGCTGCAGAACACTTCTTAAAAGACCAAACTTAGGCCAGGTGTGAGCAGAAACTAAATTTCCAGATGTGTTGGCATCAACTTCTGGAAGCTTCTGCTAGCATGACATATCAGAAGTGCTGACAGGTGGAATCCAAAATATCTGGAAATCTGATTTCCTCTTTCTTGTGATTTAGGCTACATGCTAGCTGCTTTTCTTTAGTAGTCTATCTGTCCTATTTGTTTTAAATGCCTGAAATAAGAGTTTAGCCCTTCTAAAATTATAAAAATGTTGGCAATGATTTTGGGAGGTGGATTACAGATAATATTAAAAAGAAAACCCTGATGATGAAGAACTTTCTTTAGGCTCACAAAAGGACAGATATTAAAATATTTATATTTTATCTTTAACGTGTTAGTTGTAAATATCAGATTGTTGGCTGATGAATTTGTGAGCAAATGTTTACCATAAAGCAAAATAATTAATTTTAATAAAGCTTAGAGGGTAATGGAGAGATGAGGGGCTTTTTCATATCAGCTTTCAGTGCCATCTTGAGTACATAAACACATTTGCTATTTCAAAAATAGCGACTTCCCAAAAGCAATTTAAAGCTACTTTATGCTAAAGATAGGAAGTGGAGACTAATTCTGTATCCAATTAAATCTGTAGGAGGTACGTGGCTATTTAGACTACAATCTGATCAGGAGATCACATTTCTTGGCAAAATTCCATATGATCTTGATTGTCCTAAGTAAGGGCTGTGGAAGATTAAGGGCAATGTGTCCGGAAGGGCATTATCAAGAACTGAGTACTGGTAGCCTTTGTGATACTTCTGCATGGTAACCTAATGTGGCATGAAGCCATTCCAAATTTCTGATATTATCTTAAGCCACTTACTTGGAAGTACTTGGAAGTAAAACCCACTCGCTTTAGCAAAAGATTTATTTAGTATTATGGTACAATTAAAGTCAACTTTGACAAGAGAGTTATATCAGAATGCTGAGCTAAATGTTGGGGAGTCCATCTTGCAATCAAATAATAATTAAAAAAGCTTGTGAAGATATTAATAAGTGCTCTGAAAATTCCATTTTGTGCACTAACAGGTGTGAGGGAAGATTCCTCTCAGTAGCCCCAGTTTACATGCATGCAGTGGGTGGGGGAGGGGAGCCTGATCTCTGACTCCCTTATCTTAGGTTGGAGCACTGTCTGCAACCTCAGAAGCAAATCTCAATATCCTATGGTTCCTCAGTGTTCAAGGACCATAGGAACCCTTTCCAATTCCCCAGTCGTAGAGCTGTTGCTGCAGTTTTCTGGTGTCTTTTACTTGTTGGAATTTGGGTAATTACCTGGGTATTAGGGTTTTGCTGGATCTCATGAGGTAAATTCAGCACATTCATCATTTAGCTAACACAGACTGTTCCTTGGATGTCTGAAAATAAACTGTGCTGATACTTTGTCTGAATAATAGTTATTTCACATGCATCTCTTCTGCACTACAAAATTTTGCATGAAACAATACGCATTTGTCACTCCCAATGTGTAAAAGAAGCTTATCTTAACTACAAATGCTGCAGCATATACTTTATTTTAGTTTTGTGCTATCCATTGTATTTAGTTCCTTTAAAAACTGTTTAAAAATCCTTATACCATAGTGTCAGGTCTGTTCAGTTGTTGGCTTGTATAGGCCACATGGACACACCATGTACAGTGGTACCTTGGCTCACGAACTTAATCTGTTCCAGGACTGTGGTCATGAGCAAAGTTAAATTTCCCCATAAGGTTCAATGTAAATAAGGTGAATCCATTCTGTAACCATTTTTTAAATCAGAAAAATGTGAAGCAAAGTGACAACAACAAAGATTGCGGCCATCTCCTCGCCCCCCCTCCCCCAGCATGACCGAGATCGCGCCTGTCATCCCTGCATGCGCCCGTCATCCCGGTGTGCTGGGGAGTGGGGGAGAAGAGATGGGTGCAAACGGTGCGCTGGGGGTGGGGAGATGGCCTTGAGCGCAGTTCAGTTTGTACAAGGAAGGTGTGCCTGATCAGAGGCGTGCTCCTGCAGGAAAGACAGGCAGAACCTCAGCCATCTCCCCCGCGGCTCTGCTTTGCTGCTCCTGTCTTACCTGCAGCCGCACACCTCTGATCACAGATCGCAATTGCTTTCATGCAGGGATGGCGTCCGTGATCAGAGGCGCAGTACTGCACGAACGACAAGTGGATTCGCGGCTCTGCTTTGCTGCACCCGCCTTTAGTGCAGCTGCATGCCTCTGATCACGGACACCTTCCCTGCACAAATGGAACTGTGATCGTGGCCATCTTCCCACCGGGGGCGGGGGGAAGATGGCTGCGATCTTGGTAGCCACCCAAAGCGGTGTTCATGACCCAAGTAAAATTTTTTCAGTAACTTTTGTCCGTGACCTGATTTGTTCATGAGCCAAGGCATTTGTGAACTGAGGTACCACTGTACCTCCAACCAGCTCTGCCATTTCCTATATTTGCACTTATCTCTACTGCTTGGTGTGGTTCTTGGTACATGATTTTTAACTTTCATGTTTCCTTACATTAATATACACATGTCTGAACTAAAGTTATTTGCTCCTGTCTATTGACGCTCTATAGCATAAATTATTTTTCATTCCATACAATGATTTTTTCTACTACTTTTTAAAATACAGTTTATAAACAGGAGTGGCTGGCAAAAACAGACTGAAATTTGCAGTTTATGGCCGCTGTATGAAATCATACTTTGAGATTTTAGACTGGTATGTAAGTTTGCTATACACATTCTAGGGTCAGTTTAGATTAAACGGTGTTTATTTATTTGCAATGGAGGTGGGCAACAATTGGACTTCTTAAAACCCTGTGCTTATATTGTATATGAAAACTCTTGCTTTTTTTAGGCCACAATGAATCAAACAGACAAAAATGAACACGATGTCCCCCCATATCTTAATGATGAGCCACCAGAAGGTAAATTTCAGTTACAGGTTTACTGTAGTTTTGTAAACTAAAATGTTTTGTTATGGTACAGTGGATGACTATTTGTTCAGATCTACTTAAGTAAATTGATATCTGATTATTGTTAATCCCGAGGAGCCTGTCAGCCCTGAGGAGCCAACTGATGCTTGTATGGAGGCTGAAAAGTTGACTTTCCATCTGTTGAAATTATTTACTAATTTGTTAATTATTTTCCTTTTATGAACTAATTTCAGCACTAGAACTGATTTTGTAAAGTAAATTACTTGAAAAATGGCTTTTGCTCTGTTTTACTCAGGACAGTGCTAAAATGCATAAAACATTGTCCTTTCACAATTTCTGTAGCATGGGTTGTAGGGGCCTTTTGATCTCCTGAAATTACTAGTCCAAGCTGCTCTCTAATGGAATCCTAACACAATGGGGGGGGGGGGGAATGATTTGCCACCAAAATTCAGTGACATTGCAGCAAAATAATGATTTTTCTTCAAGTCATATGCTCTCTGCAGGACCTTTAAAGAAAATAACCTTTTATACTATGCTGTCACCACTTTTTCCTGATTGATTAAATTATGCAAGCATGATTTACTCTAGTGGGATGTCATTTGTACTAGTGCTGAAGTAGATATTATTCACTGATATAATTGGCTGTATATATTTTGCTAAAATGTTAAATGAAGAATTTGTGTGTGACACGAGCAATGTTAACATTTTAAGAAATGAAACAAAATGCCTACTTACAAGTGATCATTTTGTTAAAATTCAGAAGATGTTCTATTATTACATTTATATCCCACCTTTTTTCTCTTGCTAGGAATCTAAATCCTTGTATGTAGGCAATGAAAATTCAAAGACTGCAGGATTCCTTAGAAAGTAAATTCAAACATAAGGCCAACTCGAAGCAGAAAGTTTGGTTAGAAGAATCGCTTATGAACAGCTGACAAGTTTTGAGGATGTTGGAATTTGTGTTAAATTTCTATTATTAAACTCTTTGTTGTATGTTTAATAGGAGACTGAACTTGGGAGACAAATATTCAAAAAAGGGAATAGCACTCTGAGAAGTCCCATAATTACCCCAAAAGAGAGCAAATTTCAAAACATATTTTAATTGGAGCTTGCATTTATAACAATTGTATTGTCCCCCCCCCCAAAAAAAAGAATGGTTTATTGCACATGTGGTATACGTCATGTCAATCTAGTGTATCTGGCTTTTTATTTCTAAATAAGCTCTGAAAGTTTTACTCTCTCTCTCCTTAGATGCCTTAAAAGAACATCCACAGCAGCAACCTGGCATGCTCTCTCGTGTGACTGGTGGCCTTTTCAGCATAACAAAAGGAGCTGTTGGTGCCACCATTGGTGGTGTAGCATGGATAGGAGGAAAAAGCTTTGAAGTGACCAAAACAGCAGTAACAGCTGTGCCATCTATGGGAGTAGGATTGGTTAAAGGAAGTGTTTCGGCTGTGACAGGCGGTGTTACAGCTGTAGGATCGGCCATCTCAAGCAAAGTGCCTTTAACAGGGAAGAAGAAAGATAAGTCTGACTAAGATAGAGACTGAGGCCAGTTTGTCATGGACATTCCCTGTGTGACTTTGACATCTGCGATGATTTGGACTGCCGCAAAGCCACAGGTGTTAAGATGTGTCTAAAGAGCTGTATGAGTATTTTTCACCTGAAGGACAGAAACAGCATGATGTCACAATGTCTAAAACTGTATAGATTTCTTCAAGCATTCATCTGGTGAAATGTTACACTTGATAAGTATCTAATCAAGTACATGGATCTGAAGAGATAGCTCACATTTGAATATTAATTCACTGTAGATCTTTTTGCAGTCTTCAACTAAAAATGTGAAATTAAAATGGAGCAAAAATTAAGCACTTT